CGGGAGAACAGTCTTCGAGGTTAGTAGTGTCGTGGCGCATGAATTTCTTGCAAAGCACTATGATGAAAGGCATGATAGAAAATGGTGCACGGCAAGGTATTAAGGAGAGCTTTGAGCAGTATGCAAATTTATTATCTCAGAATGTAAAGCCAGTTGACGCGAAGGACTTAGGTTCAGAGAAAGAACAGGTTTTGGCATCTCTTGAAGTGGAGCACCAGTCCGATTGGAAGCTGGCTTTCCAGTATTTTGCTAATTTTACTGTAATATCAACGTTTTTCATTGGGATATATGTGTTTTTGCACATCTTGTTGGCCATGCCTAGCACAATACAGGGGCTTGAGTTTGTTGGCCTTGACTTACCAGATTCTATTGGTGAGGTAATTGTGTGTGGAGTGCTAGTACTTCAAGGAAAACGGGTGCTGGAGCTGATATCACGCTTCATGCGAGCTAGGGTACAAAAAGGTATACTATTATTAGTTTCCTGTTTGGTTAAAGATGGTATGAAGAATCCATCAAAATTCAATATATATCATCCAGACATCAGAATTAGGTGTTTTCTCTCGGTTCCTCATTCTTAGCTGTCACAGCATGTTTGCTATGGATACCATGTGTGGTATACATTGTTTTTCCAAGGTTTTGATGTGTTGTATCATCGATACTTTTACCAGGAAGCGACCATGGTGTCAAAGCCCAAGGAGATGGTTGGCTGTTGACCGTTGCCTTGATTGAAGGAAACAATTTGGCAGCTGTTGACTCAAGTGGCTTCTCTGACCCATATGTGGTGTTTACATGCAATGGGAAAACTAGAACCAGTTCAATCAAGTTCCAAAAGTCTAATCCCACATGGAATGGTATATCTTTATCTTTTGAGGGTTCTATTGTCTTTTTTGAAGTTCTATAGTTGCCGTCATTTGAGCATTTATATAAAGATAGTCTCTCCATTGGTTTTGATTTGTGGTTTGAACCTCGTTACATGCAGAAATATTTGAATTTGATGCAATGGATGAGCCGCCATCTGTTCTGGACGTAGAAGTGTTTGATTTTGATGGACCTTTTAGTGAAGCTACATCTCTTGGGCATGCTGAAATCAATTTTGTCAAAAGTAATATAACAGATTTGTCTGATGTTTGGGTTCCTCTTCAAGGAAAGTTGGCTCAAGCCTGCCAGTCTAAGCTGCATTTAAGAGTTTTCTTGAATAATACAAAGGGTACCAATGTTGTCAAAGACTATCTGTCTAAGATGGAGAAGGAAGTCGGGAAGAAGGTAGATCATCTATTTCTGCAGTTAATGTTATATGGCCAATGGATCTCGTTAAATATGGGGATTTAATTTTCTTTGTGAGTCCTGCTGAACGGTGTCTGAATTATTTTTGTAGATAAAATTACGATCTCCTCAGACCAATTCAGCATTCCAAAAGCTTTTTGCGCTTCCACCTGAGGAATTTCTCATCAATGATTTTGCATGTCACTTGAAACGCAAGATGCCCCTCCAGGTAGCTAATGTTTATTGATTCTTTGTGCTGATAAATCATTGAATTTGCTTTTGAACAGTATCTTTAGTCTTTACTGTACTTCTGCATCAGTTGGTCGGGATTGTTAACATTATCTTGTCAAAGATGTAAATGAGTCTCTGCCAACTTTGTGACCTATGGTGCTTTCTTTATTAATGCACCCATTTGTAATTTCTTTTGGTTCAGGGCCGACTATTTTTGTCTGCAAGAATAATTGGGTTCCATTCTGATCTATTTGGACATAAGACCAAATTTTTTCTTCTTTGGGAAGATATTGAAGACATTCAAGTTGAGTCTCCTACTTTGGCGTCAATGGGTAGCCCGAATGTTATCATGACTTTAAAGCCCGGTAAAGGTTTTGATGCAAGGCATGGTGCCAAGACTCAAGATGAGCAAGGCAGGCTGAAGTTTCATTTCCACTCTTTTGTCTCTTTCAATGTGGCTCATAGGTAAGTGCGTCATTTTTTATGAGCGGTTTGTCTATTTTGAACTAGTATTTCGTGTAGGAAACTTCAAGGGAAAAAAAAGCTGTTGTCAGATAAAACACTGGGTTTCGCGTCTGAGCAGCTTATAGTGATAACAAGGAAATTTAATTCTTTGATTATATGTCTAGGACTATCATGGCATTGTGGAAGGCAAGAGCTTTGAGTCCCGAGCAGAAGGTGCAGTTAGTTGAAGAAGAGTCCGAAGCTAAAGGCCTTCAAATGGCAGAAGAGGATGCGATAAGCAATGACTTCCAAGCTGCTGATGATGACTCTGAAGGCAAAAGCCTTCAATCGGAAGAGAGTGGATCGTTCGTGGGTGTGGAGGATATAAATATGTCTGTTGTATATGCCTCTGTACTTTCAGTTCCTGTGAGTATCCCCCCCTGCCTTTCCTTTTGTTCAAGAGATTTTTGGGGGTTAAATATATTTGATGGATTTTGGTTGAGATGGGGTTACAGGCCTGCATGCAGCGGTGGTTAAATTGCTCACCTCTGTCAAAACCTGCCCCAATTATAGTTAGACTATCTGTTAATTGCTCAATAGTTATAGTCCGGCATCTGAGCATGTGAAATAGGAATTCTTAATTACGTTTTACATATCTTGCTCAATATCTTGTTTTGGTTGTTTGCAGACGGACTTTTTCATGGAGTTATTCAGTGGTAATGAACTTGATCGTAAGATCATGGAGAAAGTCGGTTGTCTTAATTATTCTTTTAGTCCCTGGGAATCTGAGAAGCCTGATGTGTATCAGAGGCAACTTTATTATAAATTTGATAAGTGTATATCCCGTTATAGAGGTGAAGTGACAAGCACGCAGCAAAAGTCTCGCCTTTCTGATAAAAATGGTTGGCTCGTAGAAGAGGTCATGACTCTTCACGGAGTTCCACTGGGTGATTTTTTCAATGTAGGGACATTTATGATATGTCGTTTTTCTTTCCATTTAACATCTGCTCACAGTAGGCTAAGAGCTCTTTGTCTGTATATTGCAGCTTCACCTGAGATACCAGGTTGAGGTTGTCCCCTCAAGATCGACGAGATGCAACGTTCAGGTACATCTGGGAATTGCTTGGTTGAAATGCTCGAGACATCAAAAAAGGATCACGAAAAACATAGTTTCTAATCTGCAAGAGCGCCTATTAGTCATGTTCAGCGGAGTTGAGAAGGAATATCTCTCAAAATCTGATCCCGTCGTGATCTAGAGGGGTCCTTTGGCTTTTGCAGACCCTCGGAAGGACTAATTATTGCCAATATACACAATCCCGGTTGATCCTCATCCACCAAATATTCGCTGAAGCAATGTTGTTGTATAATAGTTCACGAGTCACTAACACTGATAGGAAGAAGCAAAATATGTAAAAATACACTATGGAGCTCAGTGTATGGTTGAAGATATCAGGAATATGCAGCCAAGACAGTGATCTCCCAGTCGCAGTGTTTGGATATGTGCTTATAAATTGTTAGTACAGTACTGTCTTCAACTAGTTTGGAATCGAGGTGTAGTTATTGTATGGCATCTTACATTCAAGTAGATTCGTGACCATAATTTTTTTTGACATTAAACAACTATCATTACTTCAAACTCCGCGATGAGGAGAAATTTTTTGTTATGTACATAATAGTACCACTTATTGTAGGATTTGATAGTTCTTTGGATGTCCAATGTATTCTGTCATTTGGCCAAGTGAAAAACCATTCATGCCATGATTCTCCTTCAGATAACTGCCTGAGGTTAACTTGGAATGAGTTATTTTCTTATGCTGTTTTGATCTTTGATGGACTCTATGGCTGTCTTTTTTTCTTTTTCTTGGGGGGGGGGGGGGGGGGGGAGGGGGGGCGTGCGTTTAATCCCTTAAATTTTGACAAATTAAGCAACGGTAAAGTTCTCTTCGTATGACCGATAGGTCACCGGTTTGTACAGTCGAAACAACCACTAATGCTTGCGGCCTTTCCCGGACCCTGGGAGAATGCAGGATACTTTGTGCATCGGATTGGAATACCTTTTTCTTATTGTGGTCATGTGATGTCCGGTTAAGCACACATTTAACCTTCCATCCATTGAAATGTGTACCTTTAGGGGTCGTTTGGTATTAGCTAATACCCCAAAACAAACATGGGATAAAATTAATCCCAAACTTTATGCCGGGATTATTATTCTTATCCCATATACCAAACGACCCCTAATTAGTACTTCTAGTTTTGAATCTTCAAAAATTCAATGAATCTTCTACTTATTTTACCGAGCTCTATATTATATCAACAAACTTTTTTGTACCAAGCATGTTTTTATTTTATTTTTGACAAAAGAAAAGGAAAATAGATCATATATTTTATGTTTTTCCCCTCTTTTGAATAAAATCTTACCGCCTCTGGTTCATTTTAAATGTTTTGACATATTTATTAAGAAAGTCATTTATTAGTATTAATCTAAAGGATTGTTTAATTATATTATGCTTTTATCTTTTCTAATTTAGAAAATTCTATAAGTCATTTAGTGGAGTTAAAAATGGTAGATTTGAAAAGAAAAAAAAATGTAGTGCTTTCTTGGCTTCCTAAAATTATAATAGTACTTATATTGGCTTAAATTTATTTAGCTAAAACGGCATTTAAAATGGACTTAATGAAGTTTAGTATACAAGCCTAAATTATTCTTATCATATCTTCATATCTGGTATTAATTACAACAACAAATACGGTAAAATTTTATAAGCGAGATTTGGGGAGCATAATATGTATGTAGACCTTAACTCTACCTTGAAGAGGTAGAAATGCTGTTTTCGAAAGACCCTCGATTCACGAGAATAAATAAAAACGAAAATATTTGTCAATTTGATTTGTTTAGTTTTTGTTATTACATTTTACAAGTAGTAATTAATAATTTCTCACCTAAACGTCTCTTTGATTTGTCCTCTTAGAAATACACTAAAGTAATTTTTTTTTAATCTTCATATAACAAC